AAAAAAAAAAAAAAAAAAAAAAAAAAAAAAAAAAATTTATAAATGAAAAAAAATTTAAAAAAAAAAAAAAAAAAAAAAAAAAAAAAGTTAAAAAATAATTATTTATAAATGAAAAGTAATTTAAAAAAAAAAAAAAAAAAAAAAAAAATCAATAGTTAATAGTAAAAAATAAAAATTTTTAAAACAAAGAATATAATTAAAAAAAAAAATGAACATTCATATAATTTTTAAAAAAAGGAAAAATCAAAAACATTAAAATGAGAATGTCAAATTTTTAAAAAAGTAAAAGTTTAATAAAAAAAATGATTTGTTTGTAAAAAAAAATGGTTAATAAAAAAGATAACAAAAATGAAGATGAATGGGAATTACATCCATTATTCTTATCAAAAATCCCAAGTAAAGGAGACATAGATAAAAACTCAGCTCTTTCTGCTTTAATAACTATAATTAATGAAGAAGAAGAAAAAGAGACATTTAATTATGAACCTAGAAGAAAAAACTTAAAAAAAAAAATAACAGAAAAAGGAGAAGTTATTCACACTAAAGATAGAAGAAATTTTTTTGAACCATATAAAAGTAAAGAAATAAACAATTTAGGAATACAGAAATTAAATAAAAATATATATTTTAATAAATATGAAAATGTAAATGAAGGAGTAAATAATGTGGAAAATAGTGATAATGCTTCTAATAAAAAAAAGAATGAAGAGGAAACATCTTTAGGTGAGTTATTAGTTTGTTTGTCAATGGTAAATTTGAAATAAGAACATTTCTATATATATATATTTTTTTTTTTTTTTTTTTTTAATATATATAACATCTTTATATTAAAAAAACATATAGAAAAAAAATTATTTAGAGTTTAAAAAAACTAATATTGTTTTTAATAAAATCAATTTTTTAATTACATTTAAAAAGAAAAATAATAAATTATATTATTTCTTACTTTTTTTTCTTTTTTGGGATTTTCTATCTTATGATAATATGAACAATCATATTTTTAATTGATTATCAAGTGTAAAAATAAATAGAAGTAAATAATAAAAATATAAAATGAAAAAAGATAAGTAACATATTTAAAATAAATTTTGAATTGATACTTTTTATATATATATCACTTAAAAAAAAAAAAAAAAAAAAAAAAAAAAAAAAAAAATAGACAAATACTTAATAATTATAATAAAAATTAATTGAAATTATTAATCTTACTATGTTATAAAATAAAAAGAATAAAAAAAAAATTGATAGTATGCAATAAACAAATATTAAAAATATTAGAAAAAAAAGAAAAGAAAAAGGACAGTTAAAATATATGATTATATAATCAATAAAAAACAAATATATATATATATATTTCTTAATTTTATCCTTTGGTAAAAATTATATATTTATATACAACAGATTTTTTTTTTTTTTACTTCAATGGTTCTTCTAATTCTAATAATTCATCATTTTCTTTTTTTTCAGAAAAATCCTAAATAAGCAAAATAAAAAATAATAATAATAATAATAATGATAATAATTACAATAATAATATATAAATAAAATAAATAAATAATATTAAACATGATAAAAACATTATATAATAAATTTTCTATTTTTAACCAAAAAATTTGCATATAGTAATAAAAGAAAACCAACAAAACTTGAGTAGAGAATCATAGTGAACCCTGTTCTATATTAAAAAAAGAAAAATTAATAATTACAACATAAAACCATATAAAAACTATATATATATATATATTTTTATTTTGTTAAATACACTGCTAAATATATATTTTATTTAAATATTATTTTATCCTTACTTTAAAGCTAGTCGATTATCATTAGTATATTTATGCATTATATCCATTATAATTCCAGATAATAATGGTGCTGAAAACCAACCAAAAACATTATATATAATTTGTGAAACTGCAGATGATAAGCTTTTTTGATGATTATCAACACAAGATAAAAGCATTCCTTAAAAAAAAAATAAAATACAACAGAATGAATAAATAAGTAATAATGGATAGATTTTTTTTTTTTTTTTCATTAAAATTTTCATTTTTCTATATATATTTTTATATTCTTTTTAATTTTATAATTTATTTTATAATTTATTTTATAATTTATTTTCTTTTTTAAATGATTACCAACAGCTACTGGTACTAATGCAGAACCTGTAAATAAACATAACCATAAGGATATTGAAAAAAAGATGAAATTATTCAAATGAGCAGATAAAATTCCAAAAATACAAGCAGAAATAGCGAAAGCAGTTGCAACCTTAATTGTTTTAGAATAATTTGTATTTTTATATCCACCAAATAAATCACAAACAAAACCACCAAACCAAACACCTGATGTAGGAGATGTTAAAAAACACAAAGTAGATACAGTAACAATTTTCATCTTCTCTGTTAATAAAACTACAGACATATATTCAGTTATCCAAAATTGTATACCAGTTACAACAAAATACAAATTACTCATACCTAAAGTTATTATTATATATAATCTATTTTTTAATAATTTTTTCACTTCTTTAAATGTTTTTTTTAGAACATTTGTTTTTTTTTCCATTATATAAGTAGCTGATCTATTAAAATTCATCTGAACTAAACTATTTTTTGATTCATGCAATGATTTACTTCTTTTATATTTTTGTTGATTATATGTACAATTTGAAATATTTTTAAATGAATAATCCAATTTGTTACTTTGCTTATTATTTGATAGCTCTTTATTATCCATAGATTCTCCACTTTTATTTTCAGTAGAACTATCTACATCACTATAATTGGAAGTTATATTGACCTTATTAGATGGAACAAAAATCATAATTAAAAAAATAGGTAATAATAAAAATGCTTGAATTAAAAAGGGAGATCTCCACGTAGTAAAAAAAGATAAATTAGAAAAAATAGAATCATTGTGATGATGAGAATTATTATTATTTGATAATATTCCACCTAAAAAGTAACCAAATACAGTTCCTCCAATAGATGCCAACTGAATATATGACATCCATTGAGTTGCCTTTTCATCAGGTGAAAATTCATCCACCCATACAGGCAAATATACAACAGGAATAGCTTGACATAGCCCATTAACAAATCTTGAAATATACATAATTGCAATGCAGTTTGCATGACTAAATATATATAATGATATAGATAATAAAATTATACTAATTGTCACTAATAACTTAGCTGATAATAATTCAAACAGAATACTTGCAATTATAGTTCCAATTATTAAACCAAAATAAACTAAACTACCTAATAAAGATTGTTCAATATAACTTAGAGGAAAATCTTTCTGAATTTCTTCTAATGTAACAGGTATAGCACCATGATCATAATTACATAATATTGATATGCATATCATTAAAGTCAATGTTAAAAATAATAATTTATCAGAATTTTTTCTTTGAAAATCTCCCATTCCATTTGAAACCATTTTGTCTTTTTTTTCAGTATCTATAATTTGATGTAATAATGTATATTCATATTGATTTGTTTTCCATGAACAATCTAAACAGTTATTTTCTTCAATTTTTATATCGTTCTGTTGTGTAATAATAGATGAAACCATAGATGTTAATAAACCACTATAATTAAAGTTTCCTCTTTTTTGATAGTAATTTATTTTACATTTTTTAGGTAAACATGCACAATCTTGTATATATACTGTTTTAATCTTTTTCTCATTTATAGATTCATATTCATTAACTGCATTAAGAAAATTATGTAAATCATCCATACTTTTTAAATTATTTGAATTTTCATTTTCTACCTTTTTTTTTTTTTCTTCTACATTGTTATAATAATAATTATTATTATAATTATTATTATTATTATTATTATTACTAGGTATTATCTTTATTATATTACTTTTGTCTAATTCATAACAATGGGCTGTTTTAAATAGATCACTTTTTATTGCATTACTGTAGTTTTCATTGCTATTTTCTCGTTTATAGCATATGTTAAGTTCATTTAATTTTTTGTCTTTTATTTTATAATTATCACCTAATTGTAAATCTATTTGTTCACTTCTTTTAACTGTATTGAAATTATTATTATCTTTGCTATTTAATATATTTAAGTCTTTTTTCATGTTAATAATATTAAAATTATTGTTATCTTTGCTATTTAATATATTTAAGTCTTTCTTCATGTTAATAATATTGCAATTAATGTTTGTTTGTATATTATCTATATTTTTATGATTATGTATATAATTTGATTTATATGCAATATTGTTATTATTGTTATTTATATCATTTTGTTTATATATTATGTTATTATTATTATTATATTTTATAATATTCATACTATTCTTGTTAATATTACTACAAGGAATATTATCTTTGTTATAATTAAAACCATAATTCATAATATATTTTATGTTATCTTCATTGTATGAAGTATTACCATTAATAGGATATAAATTACTCTTTTTAAACATAATATAATCTTTATTATTATTTATATTGTTTAAATTAGAATTATTATCGTAATTTACATTATTTATTTTATTTTTATGCTCTCTTAAAAGTTTCTCACAGTAATAACTGCCATTATTTTTACTTGTTGTTATTCTATGAGAAAGTATACTTCTTTTTATATTACTATTTCTGATATTTGCTATATTTTTGTCTAATTTTATAAATATATCTGGTTTATTAATAGATTGGTTATATATCTTATTGTCATAATAATTTCTGTCATTTATTTTGATATATTTATCTTTAGCTACATTATTTTTTATATGCATAAAATTAAGATCATTTCTATTGTTGTCGTTATGATATGAAAGTGGATAATAATTACTTAGATTATCATTTAAAGTATTGTAATATATACTGTCATTCATATTATTTTTATAACCATTATTATTATTATTATTATTATTATTATTATTATTATTATTAATATTATTGTATTTATCTCTCTGAGATTCATCAAAATTAATTAAACCACTTGAAATATTTTTTTCATAACACTTTTTTAAAGGTGAATTATTTCTATTAATATGAGTACAAATTTTTAATAAATCTTCATTGTCACCGTAACAATTTATATAATTATCTAAACTTTCAGTATTTAAAATATTATAATCATAAGAAGTTTTTTCTAAATCAGAATGTGTTGAATTTTCATTATTCCTATTTATAGTAGAATATATTGTATTTTTATTATATATATTTTTTTCATGATTAAATATAGGGTTTTTTCTTAAAAAAGTTTTATAATTCAAGTTATTTGGAAGAGAAGTATTAATAATAGTTTGTTTTTCATTTATCATATTTTTGTTTTTTTCTTTTTTTCCACATTTTATATTATTAACAGGAAAACTTAACTCATTATTTTCATCATTGTAATTACTTATTAATAATATATTAGAGGTATTTAACTGATTTGTAATGTCTTTTTTATTATAATAATTGTTTTTCATCATTTCATTTATATTTTTATTCAGATAATTATTACCATATATATTATCATTTTTTTTAATCAATATATTATCTTCAGCCATTTATTCAAAATCATATAAATTTAAAATTATATATGCTTGATTGTTTCTTCTTTTTTTTTTTTTTTTTTTTTTTTTTTTTTCCTTTTCATAAGAAAAGAAAAAAAATATATTAAAAAAAAAAGAAGGTACAAATAAAATATTTTCCTTTAATTATTTTCTTAATTTATTTATATTTCTCTTCATGTCTAAAAAGATACACTTTTTAAGTTAACATATAATATCATATTTATTTAAATATATATATTTTTAAGCATAATTGTCCTATTAAAAAAAATAATAATAATAATAATAATAATAAGAAATAAATAAATGATTAAATAATATAAAATCTTTGCATTCTTTGATTGCATATAACAAGACTAAGAGTGAAAGAGTTGTTTTTATTAATAACTTCGATCTGCTCTTTTATATTGTAAACTAATTTCATATTAGGAACATTAGTAAATGAATACATTAATTAGTTTCCCATTAATTTGAAAGAAATGTGTAAATATCATTCTTATACTATATTCTCTTATTTTTTTTTTTTTTTTTTGTTTTATTTGCATCTAAAGAAAAACTAGTTATTTTAACTATAAAAAAATATTTAAGTACTTTATACATGTATATTCATCTTTTAAAAAAATGTTAAATTATTTGTGTATGCATTTTTTAAATATCCATAAATATTTTTTTTTAATCTGAGTACACACACGCGTACGGTTGCACGCTAATATAATAAAATGTTATATATTATTTTTTTTTTTTTTTTTTTTTTTTTTTTTTTTTTTTTTTTTTT